TTGGCAGACAGTTTAGTTCCTTTACGCACACTCTGCATGGTTCCACTGCATCTGAGGGATTGTCTACTGCCTCTAAAATGGTCGCCATCTTCTTTCCTTCCCTTGAAGCATCTTTGAACCTCTCCTTTGCAGTAGAAAGCTTTCTTGTAGCTGATTCATCCAGGCGAGTTAGCTCTAACCTTCTGATTCCTTCAATAAGAGAAAATGCTTCATCACAAGCCGCTTGTGCTGTTAACGCACCACACTCGGTTTTGGCCCTTGCAATCTTGAACACCTTATACAACAACGCGATTCCTTCCTCAAAGAAACTGACACTCGCTTCTAAATCCCTCCTTGATAATGGGTCTAACTTTGAACTGATGTCGTCGATATCACGGACGATCAAATCGTTGAATTTTTGGTCCGTAACGTCGCCATCTTTAAGTTTTCCGGCAACCCCGTCTCTGACTTTTTCTACGAGCAAGCCAATAGTGGCTTTAAACACAGCAGCTACAATGAAGACATCACTTTAAGACGCCGCGATCTAAATAATATATATTCTTCTTCCTATGTCAAGTTTCGACTTACAGTTGTTAAATACTATTTGCTTTGTGACGCAATGATCTTCTCTGTTTGATAACAAATCACTGTCAGCTTTTTGCCTCGGAACGATACACCTCAGTAACCATTTTCTGTGAACAAAGGTGTTTTTGACTGACCGAAGTGTATATTGCACTTGAGACGTGCGAATTATTTGTGTAACCACAAATATAATCAATCGAAATAGATACCGAGATTACGTGAAGGACTGATCGCAAAGCAATATGCCCCCGCGAAATGATTTAATCGCCCTCCTTTGTTATTTCCTACACACGAGATTACTGTGTGATGGATATCCTCCCCTGGGGTGGGATGCGTGGGTTAATAGAGGGCCACAGGATTATCAGTTTAACTACTGTCACGTGCTACCCTCTTGATATAAAGTCTCTCTCTCTCTCTCATTTGCTTGTCATGCTAAATCTGATTGTGGCTAGTCAGCAATTAATTCTGGTTTCGTTGAGAAGGATTCAACTTTTACGGATCATGGACACTTTTACTGAGCTGCCCGACAGACTTCGACGCCGCCTCGACCTGTACTCTTCACGAGCCTCAGGTAAACGGAAGTTCAAATATTCGGAAAGGCTGAGTTTCCATCATCACCTTGATGGCCTTTTTCGATAATTGCTCTGAGTAATCTAAGTAATCGCTTGAACTTGTACAACATCTGCTGGGTAAAATGAATATTCCTGCTGGGTAAAATGAAGCCTGTTTTTTTGGGTAGTTTGGAAGATATGGAATGCCAGAATTCGGAACCGGAACCGGAATACTCGAAATACCCGGAATAACCCGAAAAATAATAAATTTTTAATAAAATAAAAGTAAATTAATAAATAAATAAAAATATTGATGGTTAAAAATTAATGATAAATTCACAACTTAATTAAATAATTTAACACGAAATTTTTCTCTAAGGGTCCCAAAAAAAAAAACAGCACTTACCGGTGCTGTTCATGAAGATGCACGTATTAGAAGTAAAAAAGGTTTGCGTCAGGCCAGTAGCCCATACAGCCTAAGCGACGAAATATTTCTACTCTGCCTTCCTCCTGGGATGCTAATCCATCACATGGTTTCTCCCCGTTTTAGATTCGCCTCCACCCATTTACACACCTGGAGGATGTCTAGGGCGCCATGACCATTAGGCCGCCATGCTTTTCCAGCCGGAATCATTGCAGAAGATTAAACAAAAGCAATATTTCCAGTTAGTTTAATAGTTCAATTGCAAAAAGCTCCGAACTATTAAAAATTAATACTCTACCTTAAATAATTATTAACCACACATTAGGAGCTTTCAAAGCAGCTACCATTAAGAACAGCCGTCTACAGTTAAAATTGAGAGATCGTCAGGTACTCGACACCTTTTCGCGTCTATTCTAAATACCTTGAATATATACCTTTCAATATAAACCTTGTTTAGAAGAATCCATCAGTACAAGATATATATTTAAAGGTATATATTCAAGGTATTAATAATAGACGCGAAAAGGTGTCGAGTAACTGACGATCTCTCAATTTTAACTGTGGACGGCTGGTCTTAATGGTAGCTGCTTTGATAGCTCCCAATGTGTGGTTAATAATTATTTAAGGTAGAGTATTAATTTGTAATAGTTCGGAGATTTTTAAACTAATTAGAAATATTGCATTTGTTTAATCTTCTGCAATGGTTCCGGCTGGAAAAGCGTGCAGGCCTAATGGCCATAGCGCCCTGGCTAGACATCCTATAGGTGTGTAAATGGGTGCAGACTGTAGTCTCCTTCCATTACTAGAAAGACATGGTCATTCACCTGCAGGACCACCCATGTGTGTATACGGGGATCCTGCTTACTCTCTCAGGGTTCACTTGCAGGACCCATTCCGTAATGCTGTGCTCACTCCCCATCTGAAATGGAAGCCTATAACACATGCATGAGCAAAGTCAGGACCACTGTGGAATGGCTATTTGGAGAAATAGCAAACTCCTTTAAGTTCTTGGATTTCAAAAAAAACTTAAAAATTGAATTAAGCAGTGTAGGAAAGCTCTATGTGGTCTCTGCCATACTAAGAAATGCTCCCACATGTTTATATGGCAACCAAGCATCGGAATATTTTGACCTGGACCCATCTAATCTTAATGACTATTTTACTTAGTTTGGCATTTCTCACATATTAGGTAGCACAAGCAAAATGGGAACTTCTGTCATTTTTCTTGGTAAGAACAATGAGGTGGCATACGAGGCGCAGCCTCTCACTGATGTCATTTACCTATTTCATCAGGTATTGTTCCACTAACCATCCTCGGAGACCCTGGGGCTGAGTCGATTTCAAGATAGGGCGGAAGAGCCCTTGGGGATATTGTCTTATAAGACTAGTTCCAAGCGGTCTCAGTCGTTCTGGCATCTGATTGACGCCAGAAATCTTTGTGTTTTTCTGCCCAATCAGAGTGAAGTGTGCTTTAGAGCTCTTTCGTGTGTTTTAACACGGACATATACAAGAAGCTCAGTTGCTCGCCATGTTTGTTTGGGCCGTGTGACGGAGCTTTGCTCGAGGTGAAGAGTTTCAATCTCAGCACACAATGCAAGACAAATCGATCAGATTGTACGCAAAAATCTTACTGGAAATTATACTGAATACTTTCGCAGGTATTGCAAGACAACGTGTTTAGAAATTTGCGAGGTTCGTATAAAATATAATGGTTACAGGCGTTAATATGTCGCTTTAAACGTTCGTCGAGATGTACACTGAAATCTTTCTAGATTTTTTGTATAATTTGCTGTGACTGAAACTTTGCCAATCCCGTAAAGTTATTTCGTCGCGCGGGCCACGCAGGTATGTCGAGCAACTGGCGCTTACTCTTACGTAGCTTTCTGTGCGCGCCAAAAGTTTCTGTGCGCGCCGGAGTTTTGGAGGTTTACGTGGTGTTTTTACATGTCAACTTGGCGATTTTGTCTCGTCGACTACGTCTTACTCACGTACACGAGCGTTCGTAAGTCTTCAATTTACATCTCCATCTACAAATCTACGTTTATTCCTCACTTATATTACTGTTGAGATAGAATAAATATATGAAAATCATACATTTTGAACTG